ATAGCACGACTCTAAAAATATCGAGTCTAGTGACGAATCATGGAAAAGAGATCTCAAAGGCATCTGAAAGACACCTCGAAGATCGCATGTTTGGCAACGTCAAAGTTTGAAAGATGTATTGGTATGTTATTTATGACAAAAGATTATTGGAAAAAAAACATAGAAGTTTGCAATATCGAGGCTGGCCTTTGAGATCTTGTTTAAGTACTTCGTCCYCAGTGGCGTTGACATAGTGAACATGTCGCGGCATTTTTGAAAGTCGTGAGTGACATCTTCTCCTTTTGTATGTTTAGGGGTGCCTTTCCAAACTCTCGAATGATTTCAACAAAATTTTGTCTGCAACTGGTGGAATTGCTATTGCTATCCTCGTCATTCAGGTTTGTAACTTGTCATTAACTATTCCATGTACAGATACCTTCTTCTCTTCTTAAATCCTATTGTTTTCTCTTATTCAAAAAATTAAAAAGCTTGTATAAACCAATCGGATAARATCTTGCAAAACCGTGAAGAGMTAGCTACCCCTGYACTTGGTCTGTATAGCACCCGAACACGGTCTAGATTTATATATATGGACCAAGATACCTTGATTAATAATATAAGACTTTTATTATATTTATTTAGTGACCATTGGAAAAAGTCAAATTCTACGATAACACTGAGTGTATGAATATCAAATTTTCAGACAGTCCGTACGTTTCTTGATCATTTGAAAWTCAATCTGGTTGWTRAAATTCGTCTTCGATCTCGTACTTGTATCAAATCTGAAGTTCCTTATTCTATCTAGAACGCGCGCTCGGTTAATAAGACCTATGAAAGACTTTGAAAACGGGTGGTCTAGTGGTTAAGCTACTGGCCTCTCACCGCTGTGGTCCGGGTTCGATTCCCGGACAAGGACACGGACCATATGTGAGTTTGAGTTTGTTTGATGTGTTGTTCTCTCCCTTGCCACGAGGGTTTTTCTCCGGGTCCTCCGGTTTTCCTCCCTCAGCAAAAATCAACATGTGAGGAGTGTTGTGTGCTAAAATACTTAATGTAGAGGTAGTGAGTMTGAGAGTACAGGGTCCGCAGTAATTGGCTCACGCTGTTGCGGTGTCCCTGCCCATACTAGGGGCAAAGCTAATAAATTAAATTAAATTAATTAAAAAATATTTTTTGGTGCATAGGATTTTTTTTATATAGATGAAACTACTCGGTTCCCTATTATAACTTGGTTTCAGTGAGTAAACTGAGTAAACGGTTTGGGTTTTGCTGCCCCCAAAAAATGATTTAATTTAATATAATTTTTGTTTAATTTCTTTCTTTCTCAAGATTCTTGGAATAATCTTTGGATTGATTCTCTTCTGTCAAGTGCGCAACAATCAAGACGTGAAAGAAATACATTGAAACTGGAATGATTTTTTTCAAGTAATGGTCGAGATAACTTCTTTAAACGAAAATGCAATAGTTATATAAACGAAAATGTAATAGTTATAAGCTACAATAGCAATCATTTAGGGTTTTAACAATATCCCATAGATTACTCAGTATGTTCAAGGACTCACTATCCAATGGCMCAGGCTCTTATTCCATCGAGACGTCCTTGCAAAACGCTTGGCCAATGAGTTGTCATTCTTCACGGTTCCTCTTTTTTATACACTTACAACATAAGGATTGTCTTCATCAACTTTAATCAATAGTATTCCCTCATTATTCAAAAAAGWCCTAAACGTAACATTGAATTGCAATTTCAGTTAGGGGAAATGGTTTAATATTAATAAAAAAATTTAGCTTTTAACTTTTTTCATTTGTTCGTTTGTTTTCTTCTTTTACGAGTTTGAGACTGATTTGCAATATCCACGTTATTATTCATCAAAAGCACCAAATTAAAGCCCCGAAAAGCACTTGTAAAGGCGCATGAGTAAGCACATCCTCACTTAGGAACTCAATGATATTGTTTATTTTTTTTTTTCAAAATTACTTAAGGTGGAAAATGTTTCATATGAGCACAAGGTCAAAACTAATAAATGTGTAACTGACTTGTTACATAACGACCATAACGGATGAGYTACGACAGTTGTTTGTACCAAAAATAACAAACGCTTTACTCTATTGGAATACGTGGACCTAAGCTGCTCTAGCTCTTCCAGTGATGTTGTAGATACCTCAAAGCTTAGAGGAAAAAAGAGCTAAGAAAAAAGATTTGCAATGGCTCCTCCTAAGATACTTTGGACTTGAACGTCGCTTCAACGACTTACTGAAGTCTTCGTGAAGTCGGCCATTGATTCGCATGCAAAGGAGAACCGGCGTAGAACACAGACCAATTATTGTGACGAGAGGCCTTCTGGGAAGGCTCTCGTTATAATGTMATAGTGTATGAGTGAGGATGGAACCGTAACCATTCCACGTGACCGTCGTCAAGGAGATCTCTTGTGTCAGCGGTATCGAATTATAACACTGTAGCAATCTCGTACCCCGAGCCTTCGTTTTTCTTGACCAGCGCCTCGACAAACGCAAAACTCTGGGATAAAGGAAATTTTACTACGGATTTCTGTCTTCCAGTTTCCACTGCGCATGACTCGTTATCCCACAGGCTTACCAGACTTTCGAGATGATTCGGCTCCAGGCCTCCTATGGCGATGGATTATCGGCCTAAATGAAATCTCTTCAAATTAGGCCATTTTCAACATATGAAAAAAATATTTTGATAGAGTAAGGGGGGCTGCAAATTTTCCCAAGGTTTTTATGACTTTTCCTCCGGACCACCCTGAGGCATATTTAACGAACAGTCCCTTAAAGCAGTTTATATACACCACAGGAAAAAGTCTATTCCCTAGCTGTGCAGTGGAGGTGGACGGTGGGTGAGAGATGCTGTAGTTGTTTGGGCGACTAATAGAGGCAAAATGTGTTTCGCTAACCAAAAAACTGTCACTAACCTTTTAGTGACAGTTTTTTGGTTAGCGAAACACATTTTGCCTCAGTCTATTAGTCGAGCTCATTAATCATTATGCAAAGGATAAAGAAAATGTCATATCTCAAAGATTGCCTTGRCCCTACGTCTGGCTGACGATTTAAGAATATGACTTCCAACTAGCGATCATAGATCGCCTACGTGGGCTTCCTGTGTAGCTGCGAAAATGGTCAACTGCTTCGCATTAAGTTATACGTATTTCATTTTCACGATAGAGTAAGTACTACGAACTAAATACTACCGCAGCCTTTGGTTTTGCCATATGATTTGAACATTCATGGTTTATACAAACCAGCTGGTCACAGTAAAGCCGTAGATATCGCGATCAGGCCACGARGMCGACTGACGTTCAAAATAGTACATGTCAAAAATGAAAACAAAGCGCGGATTGATTTAGTTTGACAATACCATGGAAAGTGAGACTGTAGACCATCTGCAACACAGGCGCTATCACTTTGATGTACAATATTCACAATGGAGAAGAAAAGTCCACTGGCATTTTTAGACGTGGTCTTCCAGGAAGCCTACGTAATAAAACTGAGGTTTGAGCTGAAAGTCACATTTTTATATGAAATATTCCCCTGTGATAGACGCTTCATATAGACAATTTTGCGCCGCCCTTCATAGGAGTGCACGTCTTTTTGATCTTCACAGGCCGTCATCAGACTAGCCTGCGTATATCCAGTTTATAAACGCTGCCATAAAACTCAGGATTTCATCAGACATTTCACACAAAAAAACGTGTTTTTGCAAAAGTCTATAGTTTATCAAATATAGAAACGGATTCAATATGGGAATTAGATTTAATCTGCATCAAGCAAACAACTATAAAAAATACCTTCGATCCCTTCTATAAATTAAAAAGGTCACGTGATCATGTCTAATCAATTGCGATAACGTTGGTCACATTATCTCTTCTTCATGTTTTGTAATCTTATCATAGTTCACGTAGCGCCACACTCGCACGGAAGCGAGGTTTCTGTGGAATTATTTGCGACCAGTCCTGCACATGAATACTCCATTTTCGTGAATTCAAAGCGAATAACCGCTGTTTTATTTGACAACAGGTTTTCTTATCAAGTATGGCGAAAGCGCAGAAAAATGTCGTTATCGCTATTTTTTTTCAAATTGAGACTAACACTGTGTTCCCAGAATGGCTCAGATTTAACCCTTTTGGTAATACAGGGCTACAATCTTTTGCAAAATTATGTGAAACACTGTCTGTGATTGTGTTACTACAATCTGCCCTTCCCTTTTACAATGTTATTCGTCAATGAAATGCTACAAAATCAACAAGGAGGCGAAAAGAACGTGTGAACAACCTTGCAGTGGGGAAAGGGGGCATGGTGTTCCGTTTATTTTGCATATGATTGTAGCTTCAATTCGAAGAAATGCAAATTGGGTCAGGGTAGGCAATTGTTATTATCATGAAAACATTTTCTCGTACTTTCTTATGTCTTCGGTAAGGTCTTTGCGCAAGAGAATCTGCTGTGAAAAAAAACTGTGGTTATCTTTCAATTATTGCATTTTTGTAATGCACTTCAGTTTTATGCAAGAAATACAATTAAATGGTTTGAAAAACAACACTGTTGCGGTTCACAGCTAGCTAGCCGCACTGATTCTTCAATAAATTTCGCTTTCATATTGCAATTAATTTTAGGGACTGCGCGATAGCCAGGAGAAAGGGGAATTTAGAAATGAGCCAGTCAAAAAAGTTTATTACACGTAATTACTACTACCTCATCCCCCTCGCAAAAGAAATACCCCCCCCCCCCCCCCCCCCCCACAAAAAGCAACTTTATTTGATGCTTCACTTTTCGATAATAATTTAATTAACGCGGATTGTAAATATCACAGTACAAAAAAAAATTAATATCTCTTTAGTTTGATTTTTCTAAATTTCTAAAWTACTCAAGAGAGTCAGGTTTTGCCGCCAAAATTTTCACGTCACGGCCGGCGGCAGTCAAATAACAACTTTAGGGACGGTCCATTTAACTTTTGAAGGGAGAGGGGGGGGATGATTTTGAAAAAAAAAGTCATGCAAGCCATCTCCACCAAAAATAAAAATCGTGCACAACATATGGACCTTAAAAAAAAAAAAAATCTTGCACCACCCTAAGCCAAAAAAAAATGTTACATACAAGAAAAAAAAAATTCCTGCACACCACCGAGAGAAAAAATATATATCCTACCAAAAAGACACGAAGAAAAAAAAAATTTGCTCACAAGACTATCATCCACACCAACTCCCCCCCCCCCCCCCCCMCCCCTCAAAAGTTAAATGGACCATCCCTTAGCCTGTTAGCCTGTTAGCTTTGCGATGATTGGCTATTTGCATTTTCTCGATGCGCTTAGCTACCTCGTTTATCTACTGTGAAATTTTCAAAGCTGTTCTACTTATCCTACTTGTTCTTCATCACAGAACCGCTATATAACGCTCTTTGCTCGCGGTAAATTTGTGATATGACACTCTACTGATCGATAAATTTTTGGTTATATGAGTGAATGAAGCAAACCGATTCGAATAAAATTCTAAACCTGTTGATTTCCTGCTAGAATATTCACGATGGCAGCTGAATGATCATGATGTCACCCAAATGGAATGCATAATTACGTGATTAATTTATCACGCGAAACTCACGACATTTGTAAAGCTAAAATAATGAATTTAACAATGACATTTTTATTCTAAAATCCATCAGCCTACGAAAATTGAAATTATTTGATTTAACTAGCCACCAAAAATCTTTTTAAGATAATAAATAAGTAATTATTTTAAACATCTGCATGATACCCTTTGCCCTCCCCTTAAGAGCATTGTCTTGTTTGTGTTTGCTATTTGACGAGTAACAGCTACTGTCCAGAGAAGACCTATAACTCCCATCTTATTATCGAAGGTTAGTCTTTCRTGTTCACTGTAAGCTTTTAGCAGTAGATTATAAAACATTTCAGTATATTTAGAAAGCTATAAGATAGAATCTAGTTGCTTAAGACAAGGTTGTAGCTCGACTCAACGACGGATGAATGAAATAGAAAACTTTACAGGCGATATTTTGGCTACACTATTTATCATGGCCTGTGGTAATTCTACCACAATTYTGAGCCTGTTGGAGACAATAATCGAGGGCAAATCACAATTCCTTAAATCTCCCGTCGAAGGAATTAGCTTTAATATAAAGAAGAACAAAGCGTTGCCTCGTGCGTGATAAAAACACACTCTTGAAGGCGGTGGTGCAMTGGTGAAATGGCTTCGGGAGAATAATGTTATCTAGACATCTTTCCCTATACTTTGAGAAACTAAAGCAATTATATGACATATCTGYTGCTATTTCTACGGTTATGTGGTC